TAAATCCTCCAAGTGGCCTTAATGACCCTCTAAAAGGATGCAAATGACCAGCAGTCTGCAAGGAATATAAATCCTCCAAGTGGCCTTAATGACCCTCTAAAAGGATGCAAATGACCAGCAGTCTGCAAGGAATATAAATCCTCCAAGTGGCCTTAATGACCCTCTAAAAGGATGCAAATGACCAGCAGTCTGCAAGGAATATAAATCCTCCAAGTGGCCTTAATGACCCTCTAAAAGGATGCAAATGACCAGCTGCCTGCAAGGAGTATAAATCTTTCCATTCCCCACCATCCAAGTCAGAGCTGAAGAAGCTTCTTGGATGAGAAATGAAATGTCCAGTTATGTCCCTTGACAAAAAAACACTTTTGGGATATGCAGGACGAGATAATGTCATGATAACAGTTGAATTTTTTTTGATTGTCGTCTTTTTTTTTTATAATACCCCACCTGATAACCCGAGTATTTATTTATAGGGGGAAAATGCCCGGACCAAACATTATTTATAATGTCGGATTTTCCCCTTCACTAGAGGGAGCCTACTTGTAGAGGGCTGTGAAGCCGTTACCATGGCACCTCCACTGCGCTGTAGAGTAGAAGCCATTTTACGGGAGTACAGTCAAAGCCATTTTAAGGCACAACAGGCTGTATCTTAACAAGAACACCACCACCCTGAGGGGTGTTAGGGGTGTCTTATCCCCCACAGTATTTGTCGCCAGAGAGTAAGTAATCTGTGTACCAAGTTTGGTTGAAAATGCTTGAGGTGTTCCAGAGCTATGCTGGAACATAAACAAAGCCATTTTTATATATATAGAAGATGTGGTCTTCAAGTTATGACAGTCCGATGGGGCTGAAGGAAGGTGCTTACCAGTCCTTCAAGTCTGATAAGATTTTTTGATAAGTGATTTGAGGTTAATGGAGGCAAAAGTTTGAGAAGGACTTAATGTTTCCCTTCATCCCTTCCTTGCAGGCCACTGCGATTTTGGCTCCAACTGTAGATTTTCTCACATGACGGGGTTGGATCTCGAGAAGCTGAACATGCATGTACAAGGTAAGAGAAGGTGAAGTGAGAAACACGTGACAGAATAACAGAGTTGGAAGGGATCTTGGAGGTCTTCTAGTCCAGCCCCCTGCTTAGGCAGGAAGCCCTACACCACTTCAGACCAATGGTTATCCAACATCTTAAAAATTTCCACTGTTGGAGCATTCACAACTTCTGGAGGTAAATTGTTCAACTGATTAATTGTTATAACTGTCAGGAAATTTCTCATTAGTTCTAAGTTGCTTCTCTCCTTGATTAGTTTCCACCCATTGCTTCTTGTTCTGCCCTCAGGTGCTTTGGAGAATAGCTTGACTCCCTCTTTTTTGGGGCAACCCCTGAGATATAGGAAGACTGCTATCCTGTCTCCCCTGGTCCTTTTTTGCATTAAACTAGACACACCCAGTTCCTGCAACCGTTCTTCAGATGTTTTAGC